AAATATTCTTTTGATAATGAGAACGGATCTATTTATGCTTATAATAATGGTGTATTTTGTTTCGGTAACAATGTTCTTCAAATTGATTCGTCTAATGGTTTAGACAAAGCATGCTTGTGGCATTGTCGTCTTAGACATGTCAACAAGAAACACACTTCCCAACTCCAAAGTGATGGAGTGTTGGAATCATTTGACTTAAGGTCGGATGATACGTGCGGGTCTTTTTTACTTGGAAAGATGACTAAATAACCTTTCACTGGTTCTTGTGAAAGATGTGAAGGATTGTTGGATCTTATACACACAGATGTGTGTGGGCCCTTCAGATGCACCACAAGAGATGCAAATTGATTCTATGTGACTTTTACTGATGATTTATAGCAGATATGAATATATCTACTTAATCAAGCATATGTCAGAAACCTTTGAAAAGTTCAAAGAATTCAAACAAGAAGTCGAGAATCAATTGGGCAGGAAGATCAAGATGCTCATATCTGATAGAGGAGGTGAGTATCTCAATATTGAGTCCCATGACTACCTCAAGGAATGTGGAATAGCTTCACATTTGATACCTCCTAGGAAAACACAACTCAATGGTGTTGTTGAAGAGGCGCAATCAAACCTTGTTGGACATGGTTTGTTCCATGTTGAGTCGAGCTTTAGTTCCAATCTCATTCTGTGGGTATGCCTTAGAGACTGCCGCCCACATTCTTAATCTTGTCCCAACAAATAAGTTTGCCAAAACACCTCACGCGATGTGGACAGGGAAGGTTCCCTCGTTGCACATATCAAGGTTTGGGGTTGGGAAGCGTTCGTTAGACGAGATTCTCACGACAAGCTTGAACCTCGTAGGTAGAAATGTATTTTCATCGCCTACTTACAGAAGTCCTTTGGATATTTGTTCTAGAGACGTAGTGAAAACATGGTCTTCGTAGCATGAAGGGGAGTCTTTCACGAGAGAGAGCTCATATCCAAAGGGGACAGTGGGACTATAATTGATCTTGAAGAAATTCAAGAGTCAAACGAGGAAGGAATCTTTGAACCTCCTATAGCTTATCCTGTGGAAGAAATTCTAGTTGAACCATTTGACAAGTCGTTACCTCTTAGGCGTTGCAGTAGAGTTAGAATGCTACCTGAGTTTTATGGTTTGTATATAACTACTGATGGTGATACGTTTATCAGTAATAGTATACTGGTAAATTTTGATGAAAATTATAACTATAAGGAAGCTGTGGTGGGCCGGCCCTGAGTGTACCAAATGGAAAGAGGCAATGGACAGCGAAATCTAGTCCATGTATGACAATCAAGTTTGGAATTTGGTTGAAAATGTACCACGTCGTAAGACAGTTGGGTGCAAAAGGATCTTCAAGAAAAAGACCGACATGGATGGAAAGGTGCACACTCTCAAGGATCGATTGGTTATGAAGGACTTTACTCAAACCCCATGGGTTGACTATGATGAGACCTTCTCACCAGTAGCTAAGATTAAACCTATTAGGGTAATGTTAGCTAGAGTTGCGTTTCATGAGTATGAAATTTGGCAGATGGATGTCAAAACCACTTTTCTTAATGGGAAGTTGGCTGGGGATGCTTACATGAATAAGTCAGAGGGTTTTGTGGATGCTAAGTACCCAAATAGAGTGTGTAAGCTTGAGAAATCAATCTATGGAATGAAATCTTTGCTTTGATGAGAAAGTCAAAGAGTTTGGTTTCTCTAAAAGTGAGGATGAATCTTGTGTATATGTGAAAGCTAGTGGGAGTATGGTAACATTCCTAGTGTTGTATGTTTATGACATACACATTATAGGAAACGGCATTCCAACTTTGCAAGAAGTTAAGTCTTGGCTTATAAAGTGTTTCACTATGAAGGATCTGGGAGAGGCTGCCTCTATCCTAGGGATAAGGATCTTGAGAAATAGGAGTCATAGTCTAATTGGATTTAGTCAAAGTACGTATTTGGATAAAGTATTAAAGCGTTTTAGCAAGGATAATTGCAAGAAAGGAGTGTTGCCTATCCAGAGCAATACCAAACTGAGTAAGACTCAGAGTCCGAGTATTGTTGCAGAGATAGTAGAATTGAGTCGAGTTCCATATGCTTCCGCCGTTGGATCGATCATGTATGCTATGACATGTACTTGCCCTGGCGTGGATTTTCTTTAAGCATGGTTAGCCGATATCAAGGAAATCTAGGTAAAGCACATTGGATAGCAGTCAAGAATATTCTTAAGTATCAGCAAAGAACTAAGGACTAGGTCCTTGTTCTCGGTGGCAGTGATAACTTGAGAGTAACTGGGTATAGTGACGCTACGTTTCAGACTGACAGAGACAACTTTCGTTCTCAGTTTAGGTGGGTATTTACCCTTAATGGAGGAGCAGTAACTTGGAAAAGTTCCAAACCGGAAACCGTGGCGGATTGTACCTGTGAGCCAAAGTATATAGCTACAAGCGAAGCATCGATGGATGTTATATGGTTGAAGAACTTCATCGGAGACCTTGGAGTTGTGCCAGCTATAAAGGAGCCAATGGAGATTTTCTATGATAATGAAGGAGCGGTTGCCTTACCCAAGGAACCAAGAGATCATGGAAGATCTATACATATCAATGGAAAATACCACTTTATCAAACATAGAGCAGAAGAAGGACACCTCGTCGTGAAGAGGGTATCATCATAAGAGAATCCTGCAGATCCCCTCTCAAATGGCCTGAGTAGGGCTAAGCACGTTCAGCATGCAACGAGCATTAGTCTGAAGCATGATATTAGTTTTAGTAGTTAGATAGATATTTAGAAACTTGTAACAAATAAGTGTAATTGACATTTGACGAATAAATAATGGAGATTTATTCATGAGTGTTGTTTACTATCTTTTGTCAGTTGTTTATTATTGCGCTTTATTTTGTATGTTTTACTTCCCGAATAATTTGATTATTCAAACATCCACAATCAATCATAATTTTGGAAGTAAGTAATGAATCAAGGCTGTCATGAATTGGACTGTAGATTGTCTAAGTGTTTTAGACATAGAAAAGGTTTGCTGCAGTATTCATGAGTAATTTTGAAATGGAGAATTTAAGTATTGGATTAACCCACACTCAGAGAATTACTTCATGGAATTTATCATGAGTAATTCTGAGATGATAATATCTTATAATCTTTAAACAAAGATATATGAGTTGTTGTTTACGAGTAGGATGTGTATTGATGATACGTAAATGCATCAGTAACTTGATGTTATAAAAACGTATTGTTATGCGTGATTGATGATTAAATAGTACAAGCATATAAGTCAAAGTTTATCTGTTCCTTTTGCCCTAATGGGAAAAAGCGATATCTTGGGCCCCTCGATGATTTGGTGTTGACTTATGTGCCGGTCCCGGCCAGGACTAAATTGATGTGTTCAATTGTAGTTATTTGTCATTACAAATTAGAAAACGAGAAACAAAGGAATGTAAAATGAGATTGATTCAGTTCCATGTCGTTTGTCTACATGATATGTTGCAGAATGGAGGAATATATAATCACTTATCTTCGGACGCATAACTGATTAGGTTAGAGTTCGACGACGGCTTTGAGAGCTACAATTTGCTAATCAGTTTTAAAGTTATACAAGGAATTATAGTTATTAGACTTATCCAAGTGGGATATTGTTGGCTTAGGTGTCTAAGCCCATAACTATTATTGGTATATACTTGAATTGATAGTAGCATAATCGTTTTGGGGTGCCTTCATACTAGCAACTAAACAGGATGATTAATTGACAAAGAGGAAGAATTTATTAATTTGATTAATAAATTGAAATCAATGATTTGTTAATATATTATTGAAATAACATATTAATTAGAAATGATATTGTTTAATTAATAATTAATCAGAAATTAATTGGTATTAATTTTGGGATTAATTGAATTAATTGAATTAATTAAAAGTGTAGGGGTTGTTTGGTAATTTATTGATAGTTGAGGAAAGAAGCTCTAGAACCCTGCTAAAGAGGCTTAGACAAAAATCTTCTAGAGAAGCCCCAAAATTTTCGTCCAAGGGCTTAAGAATGGCAGGTTTAGGGCTTGCTTGGTCATTAAGCAAAGCATTTAGGGTTTCCTATTCTTAATTTTAGCTTTGGCTCTAAGTCACCTCACCATATAAATACCCATACCCTTGATAAATTTTGGCCACTGGAAACCCTGAAGAGTTGTAGTCGAAATTTGAAGCCTCTTCCTCCATCTCATATCTCATCCTCTTGCTAAGTGTGTTTGTGATTCATTAGAAGTATTACACTTGTGATACTTGCTCTCAAGCTTCAAGATCTATAAGGTTTTGGATTGTTATTACTACATACACTACTAGAAAAACAGCCTTTTACGACGCACAATGCGTGTCGTAAAACGCTCAGACGACGTGCAAATGCCTGTCAAGGAAGGCCTTGTCATAACGAGAGACGGCGCTTTTGCGCGTCGTCTATTTACGACGCGTATTTACGACGTGCAATTACGACACGCATTTACGACATACATTGTGTGTCAAGGAACGCCCTGTCATAAAGGAAGATGCTACACATTTGCGTGTCGTAATCTTACGACGCACGTTTAGGACGCGCATTAAGTATCATTAAAGCCCCTGTCATAAATGAAGATGACACGCATTTGCATGTCATAAACTTCAACAACCATTTACGATATGCATATACGACGTGCCTTTACGATACTCATTTACGCATAACACAAAAATATATAAACAAATATATATATCAAAACAATCAATTTCATCCAATAACATCATGTCAAAAAATTATAATACATCGGTATTAAGGTATCTAATTGTACATTGTTATTAAGAGGTTTTCCCTAACTATATAACCTAATACTACATTTCTATTAAGGGCACCTTCTTGTTTCAAATATAATGTCAAAAAAAATCTTGCCATCGATTCCTTTCGTGAATAAACAAATGGAGTGACTCCGCCTTTTTCAGTAGCACTTACCGGTTCCTTTCGTGAATCCACTTGGGTTGATCAATCCGGAGTGCAAAATGGCTCTAAGAACCGAGGTGCTAAGGGCACGTACATGAGTACTCGGGTGAGAAAGGCACTGGATGGTACCAGGCAACCGACACTGTTACATTCAATCAAATTCATTATTTAATGAATGTCCATCTATAAAAGAAGTCCAAGGCTTTGGTTTCAAAGTATCCTACTATCAAATATTCATGTAATAGAAATCAAGATTATTAAAATCTTATTTTCACCTTGAGAAGATTTGAGAGTCATCTGCAGCTGCCATTCCAGATTCTCCCCTTTCCAGCACTGGTTGAACTGCTCTAGCAGTTGCTTCCAAAAGCTAAAACAACAACCAAATCAATGAAAGAGTATGTGAAATGAAGTTAAATTTTAAAATATATGATACCTCGAGTTGTGGTAGAGTACATGCTTCTCCATCAACAAGCATGTCATAATTACCAATGACTCGGGGGTATTGTGATTTCTCATTAGCTCAACAATTAGCTTAACAATACTCTTTAGAAAAACATGGCTGCAATTCTCTCTCAGCCTAACAACCAAAACAACAACATAGATTCAATATTTTTTTAATAGTAATAAGAAGAAATGTTAGGATAATTTTTTGAAAAAAGGTCATTAATCTCGAGTTCTATAGATATATAAAATAGTGAAAATGAAAAAGTCATGTAACTTACATCATCCTCATTTGCAGAGAAACTCCTTTGAGGAGTTAACCCATGAATTGTGTTTTTTGAAGAAACAAGTATTAGTTTCGTGAGCCTTTGAATTCTACTAATTAAAGTTGTTTTATTTTTTTAATAAACACAAAGTATAAATAATAAAAAAAATATAATAATACCTTTTTCTAAAGTCATTATCTCTTCAGGATTAACACCTACAAGCATCACACGTCTTAACTGATCAAGCTCTTGTTTGAGAACTAATATTTCTCTTTGGTACTTCGTACTTCTTAATCAAAGACTTCTCATCAATAATCTGGAAAATTAAATTGTTTTAGTATTTTTTTTAATAAAAAAATTCTGAAAGAGATATTAAAATTAAGCTGGTAAGATTTAACAAAAATAAAATAAAATGATTTAATCAGGTGCACTTCTGAAAGACACCACTTATCACAATAAGCCAATGATGATGATCCATTGGTTATTGTTGAACTTCTTCCTAAAAGTCTTCTTTGGGATGCTCGTAAGTTGAGATGGACACTTTGTGCAAATAGCTTCAAGTTTATTATTAAGAGACTTAATGCAAAAAGAATCAACAACTAATTCGGGAAATTAAAAAAAGAAAAAGAAAAAGGGAATTAGAACTTGCCTAAACTCAACAATATTTTTTTATATCTTTGCAAACTAGAATACTAATAGATTAAACATGGTTAAAGCTCATTAGCATAATGATTAATTTTTTTCCAATCAAACTATAAAAGTTTAAGACAATTTTTTCATTTTTACCAATTTTGACCAGATATACTTTATATCAGGTTTCATGACTTCATCGGTAATTCTGTAATTCTGTTATGTCAACTTTCACCAATAATTTTCCAAATTAATCATTTTGACCTGCTATATCCGGTCAAAATTAGTTAATTTTGGAAAAAATGTGTGAAACTTTTACTACATGATTGGAAAAAATTAAGTATAAGTGGTTAAACCACAAAATTGACCAAAATATAATGGTATTTCTATAAGTTTACCTACAAAATAACAACTTTGTCGTTCTTTTAAACAAAACAAGACTATAGTTTAATGAAAAAAATAAAAAAGACCTTACAGAAAAACTGAATTACATATATAAAAATTGGGATGTATAACATATAATGCAATTTGTCATTCCATTCCATTAGTCAAAACGAACATCTTTTTTTTTTTTGATTAACAATGGAATGAACGCTTCCATTCCTTCTCCAATTCCACAAATGAATGACTGCCTTATAAGAATAATAAAGTTATCATACCTGATAGTACAAGACAGGAAAAACTTCTTCCCCTATTGTAGAACCATTATCAGATCAATACACATTCTCTAGAGTTGGAGAGTTTGTAAAAAAGTTTTCCAGCAATGGGCTCCACATAATGATGATGCACATCGTTTATTGTAGTTATCAACCAAATATATAGATGAACTAGGAGGAAACTATGCTAGATTCTCATTACAAATATTGTCAACCCATGAACAGAGTAATTTATGTCCATTATTCAGCTTTAAGCTGAAAACCCAGGCTGCATTCTCAACTACATTGCATATAAAAGAAAATTATATCCTTAATTCAATTTCTACTTTAGTAATAGTTCTTGAAAGTAACAATGATTGTATGATGAAATCATGAAAAGCATTATTGTTTCTTGGAGGAGATTCTCTGTTGCTAACTTGTCTCTTTTTAGACTCTCCACCTTGTTCTCTTCAACCTACAAAAAAAATTATATAATCAATAATAATTTGAGGGAACTATTAATATTACTCATAGGGGTAAACAATGTAATTACCTGTAGCTTTTTTGTCCTTTTTCTCTTCTTCAAATTCTCTGATCTATTAGTGATCATAAAAAAACAATAAAAAGAAATTGCTAATCATTACCTTCTTCCATAACTTGAGTGATGATTTCATCTTTTTCCTTGAGAAGAGCAGCATCATCACTCTTTTTATTTTGCTCTCTACGTAGGGTATCTCTTTCCCTTGTGAGAGCATAAACGTGTCAATATAAGGATTTTTTTTATCCATCAACAAGTGATATTTTAAATATTCTATCTTTCTCCTTAAATATTTCTTACAATGTTGTGAAAAAAGGTACTGAGATAACAAGACTTAGAATATATGAATAGAACAGATTACCTTTCTTTCAAGAGTGGAGACCTTTTGATGATATTCTTCTCTTAGAGACTCGATTTCAGCTTCATTTGAATTACTATGTTAAATAGTGTGAAAAATTGTTTAATAGTGTGAAGAAAATAAGAATTACAAAAAATAATCTTAGTTTAACAAATTGTATAAACTTAAACCTACCATTTTATCCTCGAGCAGAGACTTCAGTTGTTCATTTTCATTCATCAGTTTTTGTGCCCATGATGATGCAGTAGAAAAGAAGAGACGGTCCCCATAGGATTCACAGGCTATAACATACATATCTACATTAACCCTACCCCTCCTTGCACACTTTATTGCACTTACTACCTGATGAAAATAGATGATTTTACTACTACTGAATCAAAAAGTTTATCAAGTTGTATGGATATTCTTTGCTCTTGTTTTGAAGGAATATGGAAAGGGAAAGGGAAAGGGAAACAAAAAGAAAAAGAAAAGGGAGTACTGATGATATCAAGAAAAGGAATTTAGAGGAGATGTTTGGAAGCTATTGAAGAGAGGAGTGAGGTCAAAGTTGTTACCTGATGTGACTTTGTTTGATGAGGACTCTAGCAAGATGTATGCTTTTGGTCTTACTAGTTTTGAAGACGAGGGTTTGAAGATGACGTTTAAGGAAATTTTCAACAGTGAGGGCAAGAACGTAATCGAGCTTGTTTTGGCTCTCATCCAACAAACCATACATGTTCATCCTCCTCATGCGAGCTTCACCTTCGAAGATTCTTCGTGGATCTTTCTCCTCAAGAGCTATAAGCATTCTCGTAGCATTATAGATTCTCCCGAGGGCATATTGCACCCTCTAAAGCTCTCTTGCATCGTAGACCGTATTCTACGACCAATTTCAGCTCCGCATCTAGTCGTTCCTTTTCATATGGGCGACGAGGCTTCTTGAAAGTTTTTCCATATGAAATTTGTGGTAATGGAAGAGATGGTAGGGCGGCGGCGGATGGTAGGAATAGTGGTGTCGGTCGATTGTGTAGAGGTGAGTGTGAGGTGAGGTGGAAAGAGATTTTATGAAAAAAAGCCCTAGATTTGGACGCCTTTTGTAATTGAGGATAATGGATGCGCGTTTGGTAAAAGAATTATAAAACGACGCCTCTACAATCGAGAAGGTGGAGGATAGAGGTGAGAGAAAACCTGGTGGAGAAGGAGAGACAAGAAGGTGGAAGTATCGCTTAGGGGTTGTTCAACTGGTAGCTTCGATTGACGGTTGATGAGTCGTAGTTGTCGATCCACGCTACAATCGACATTCACAGAGGGGTGGAGACGAGGGAGAAGAAGGCGGGGATTTAAAAAATTTGGGGATTTCATTTTCCCTATAAGGAGATGCGCGTTTCTTAAAAAAAAATATAAAACAACATTCACAGAGGATGCACATTTTAGATAAACTTCCCTCCGTGTTTTTAATTTTTTTACATGAGACACTAATTTAAGGGCACGCAATAATGCGTGACCTAAATCCTTAAATTTTTTGAAGAGATGACACTTTTTTAATGTCACTCTCTTTTGTGTAACATAAATCAATGAGTGTCGTGGTTTGCGCGTCGTAAAAGAGTCTTTTTCTTGTAGTGATAACAATCAAAGGTATGTTTCATAACTCTTAATTTTATGATTTTCGATTATTATCTAAAGATATAGGGTTTGAATGTTGTTGTTCATATGGTATGTTCAATTAGAGAAGACAAAGATCTTATTAGGGTTACATGCACACATAGGATTGTATGTTTATGCTAAAAACCATACGATAGCAAAAGTCAAAGACTATGATTTCTCTATATGTATTCACCATCAAGAATAAGGTACTTGAAGTGATAGTTCCTTCTTGTATTCTTGAGTGTCTTAAGCCTTTAAGCACTTAACTCAAATAAGAACTAAAGGAGACAACTCAAGCGGGAATTAAGCCACCAAACTAACTTCAAATAAGAGAGATAAGAGAAGGGAGAAGAGAAGTTACGTCTTCATGATTATTTTTGAGAGAAATTGTGCAAGAGTAAAACACTAGCTCCAAAGTCATGTGAAAGGCTTCCTTTTATACTCCCATGCAAGACATGCCTTTACATTAGAATAATATAACACAATTCTAGCCTTTTAAGAAGCATGGGGGACAGAGTATGGAGGTTGATAAGCAACCTCCATGCCTTATCAAATATCTGGCCATATCTTGATAAAGAAGAAGGATTCTTTAAATTTTATAAACTCAAATTTTGTAAAATATAAACTTTGTCTTCGGTAAAAGACAAAAGGATCCAACTAGTCCAAAAGTTAGTGCATGACTTATTAATTCATAGCATATGAAATAATAACTAGTTATAATGTTTTATAATTATTATTTTCACAAAACAATTATTATTCCCTAATTAAATAACATAATTCATATTATTTATTAATAATCATATTAATAATAAATATACAAAATGTGTCAACTGGATAAAGGTGTGACCCTATAGGATCATATTTTATTAGCAATGTCACTTAGTAATGATTCTTGGGCATATAGATTCAACAACTGGAGAAAGAAAAGGTGAGATTTATCCACTTAACATGAAGCCCATTGAAGGAAAGTCTTCTATCTGTTTACTTGTGAAAGCATCTTCAGAGGATAGTTCATTATGACACACGAGTCTCTCGCATCTCAATTTCAAAGACATTAACAAGCTTGTCGTTAGTCATCCTATGCGATGACTTCCTTTACATAAAGTTGAAAATTTTCATATGTGTGCTACCTGCAAAATGGGAAAACAAAGCAAAAAAAGAATTTTATCCATTATGAATACTAAGATCATTGAACCAACTGAATTGTTGCATATTGATATTTGTGGTCCATCTTCAATTGAAAGTATTGGTGGTAATAAGTATATACTTGTTGTCATTGATGATTTTTCATGATTCACTTGGGTGTTCTTTCTTAAACAGAAGCCAGAGACAATACAAAATCTAACACGTTTTGTGAAGCAAATTGAATTGAAGTTGCAAAAGCCTATTCAGAAGATTAGAAGTGACAATGGAACTGAGTTCAAAAATCAAGCATTTCAGGAGTTCTTAACGAATAAAGGAATTAGTCAATATTTTTCATCACCTTACACTCCATAACAGAATGATGTAGATTAACGACAAAATTGTTCTTTCTATGAAGCTGTGAGGACAATACTTTCATTCACAAATCGTCCATTGTATTTTTGAGCTGAAGCAATCGGACTTGCATGCTTTACCCAAAATCGTTCTTACATTAATAAGAGATTTCTAATTACTCCTTATGAAATTATGAATAATCTAAACCTAACATGAAATTATTTCATGTTTTTGGTTCCATATGTTTTCTGTACAATTCAAAGGAACATCGTAACAAAATTTGATGTCAAAGCTGATGAAGCAATGCTTTTGGGCTATTCACTTACGTCCAAAGAATAAAGAGTTCTTAACAAGAAATCAAGAAAGATTGAAGAAAGTTATTATGTTAAATTTGATGACAATTACATAAAATCATTTCAAAATAATGATGTTCAACATTGCAAAATCTTTCCCTCTTCGTGTTCGAAAATGATTCCTCTCATGTCATTATATGACGCTTTTGTAAATTTGTTTGATGAACCTAAAAAGCAATATCTTCATAATCCAAATATGTTTAAAATGAAGAGGACGAGTTACTAAAGTTAGTCTATGAGGCAATTGAAAATGCTGAAGTTTATCCTGAAGAATAAATTTCCACAACAGTTCATTCTCTGAATGATCCAATCGAGGGGGAGAGTGTGGAAAATATTTAAGCTCAATCTACTGAAGCAATTTCTATTTCATCTGAAAATCAAAATAATGATATTCATTTTCAAGAGGAAAATATTTCTAATAATGATTGTTTTCAGGGGGAGAATTTAACTAACGATGGTCATTTTCATGGGGAGAATTCTTCATCAGATGCTGATGTCCAGGGGGAGAGACCGGAAACCAATGATAATGATGATCATTTGGAATTTGTAGAAGTTCATTGTGAAATCATTCAAGAATATGATTTGAATTACCCTCCTTTTACAAAATGGACTAGGGATCATCCAATAACTCAAGTCATTGGTGATACATTTTCTAGATTTCTTACTCATGCTCAGCTGAAAGACAAATAAACTTTGCTATCTAAACATCGAGAATCTGCATGTTAAATTCATTTATCTCAAAAATTGAACCAAAAACTATGAAAATTGCTTTTGATCATGTAGAGTGGTTAAAAGCATTGCTAGATGAGCTGAACAAATTTAAAAGAAATAAATTTAAAGATTGATTCTGACACCACAAAATGCACATTAGTTGGTTCGAAATGGTTGTTTCGGAACAAATGGGATAAAGAATGAAACATTTTAAGGAACAAAGCACATATTGTAGTTAAAGGTTATTGTATGGAAGACGACATAGACTACAAAGAGACGTTTGCACCTACGAAGAGATGTGAAGTGTGCTTTTCTTAATACAAGATCACGTGGAATACGTAAATATGGAAGTACATTGTGTTAGTTCAATGGATTAATTAGTTGACATCTTCACGAAAGCTGCATTCAACCAAAATTTACAAGGGCTTGGAATGATGGAAGTTGATTTCATTCCAAATTCAAATTGATAAGTTGGAAAATATTATTGTCCATCTGCGAACGGTTGCGAGCATCGTAGGCCATCAAAACTTCCTTATTTAACTTTTGATGTTACTTTTCATTTCTGATAGGGTGAGATTCGTCGTAGTCCGTTGCGCAAGCTAACTGTTCATTTATTTTTCTTTTATTTTGTAACTCCTGCGATGAGCTGTGAGACTTCAGAACATATTTCTCTTTTCTCTTCTTATTTGTATTTCTATTGATCTACTATGACTTGTGATTGTCACAACTCTTTGTAGTTGAATTCTTGTTCATAGTTTATGTGTTTTTCTTATTGTTCATTTATGATTCCTTACAAGCTGTCAAAATTCATCGTAGTCTTAAAATTTTATTTTTCTTAAAAATTTTCAAAAACCGAAAAATATTTGCTTTTATAAAAGTTTTCAAAAATTGAAAAAGATTTCACATTTCTAAAAATTTTCAAAAATCCAAAAATATTTTATCTTTAAAAATTTAAGAAAAGCCAAAAAGATTTTCGTTTTAAGGAAATGATGGTGAACAATTGTTGTTCTAGTATGTAACAAATGATTTGATGGGGAACTTATGTTTTGCAAAGTCATTGATTAGTGAAGTGTCCCTAGAAGCATTTGGCAGAATGTTGTCCAAAGCCTCAAAGATTCTCCATTTGCGAGTACTTAATGAAATTTCTTATTCTAAGAATTTCTTCCCTATAGGTTGTATTAACAGAAACGATCGAGCTACCTTTATCTATTCATTTCGGAGTTTATATACAAAGGATTGGTCATTATTTTATAACAGAGGTACCATCGTTCTTCATAACCAATCATCAAACTGATGATGTAACACCTGGTTTTGGGTCATTTCTTAATTCAGGGTTGTGGACCAAAATTCGATCATGAAAAGGCTTTGTTCCTTAAGAAAGTAAAGTTTATTCCTTATTGAAGGTTGATAATATTGGTTGTGAGATCTAAACCCTTGATTTGTATGTTGGACCAAAGGGTAGAAAGAGAAACGTTATATATCAGGTTGGATTAGGGTTTTAGTTCAACATGTGTTAAGACAAAAGTAAGTAGATTGGATTGTGGGGCTCTTAATGGAGTTGAAATGAAGAAGTTATCGTTGTTTGAACTTAAGTTGGAATGGGGAGTGTGGCACTATGCAGGCG